AATATCAGACATACTATATTTGAACAGAATTTTAATTTGCAAATTATAATACTTTGCTCTCCATAAAAGATCAGGGCTTTTATCGTGAATTATAATGCTGATGTATCTATGCCTGGTTGAGGTGAATCAAAGATTTCTGTAATAAAAGAATATTTTGTTTTATAAAACTTAACATGGAGATAAGGAGCTATGTCCCACAGGGAGCTTGATATGAAGGAACTCCTATGGGCAATGACCATAACATGATAGAATTCACCCTGCAGTTTGAAAGGGGGAAGATTGAATCAGACGTAACAGTATCACAATTGACTGAAGATAACTACAAAAGACACGAGGGAGGAGCAGGCCAGAGTTCATTGGAAGGAGAGCCAAGCAGCTAAGACAGTGGAGCAGTGATGGTACAATTATCTGGGGTTATTCGGGACGCACAGCAGAAATTCATCCCAAGGAAGAAGAAACATACTAAGGGGAGGACGTGGTAACCATGGCTGAGAAGGAAAGTCAGGGACAGCATAAAAGCAAAAGAGAAAACATACATTGTGGCCAAGATTAATGGCAAGCCAGAGGATTGGGAAGCCTTTAGGACAACTCAAAAAGCAATAAGAGGGAAAAGATGAAATATGGGAGTAAGCTAGCTAGTAATATAAAAGAAGATTGCAAGAGAGTTTTTGTTTAGATAACTAAAAGGTAAAAGTGGACTTTGAACTGCTGGAAAATGAGGCTGGAGATGTTGTAATGGGAAACAAAGAATAGCGGAGGAACTGAATAGATACTTTGCATCATTGAAAGATACCAGCAGCCTACAAAATCTTCAAGAGAGCCAGGGGTCAGAGCTAAGTATAGTGGCCATCATTGAGGAGGAGGTGCTGGGGAAGCTGAAAGGTCTGCAGGTGGATAAATCAGCTGGACCAAATGGGCTACATCCTAGAGTTCTGAAGGCGATAGCAGAGGAGATTGTGTAGGTATTAATGGTGATCTTTCAGGAATCACTGGGGTCTGGGAGGGTCCCAGAGGACTGGAAAATGGCTAATGTACACCCCTGTTTAAGAAGAGAAAGAGGCAGAAATTGGAAGCTGTACGCCAGTTAGTCTAACCTCAGCTGTTGGTAAGATTTTAGAGTCCGTTGTTAAGGATGAGATTGCAGAGTACTTTGAAGTGCATGGGAAAATAAGGCAGAGTCAGCACAGATTCAATAAGGGGTAAGCATGACTGAAAGATCTGTTAGAGTTCTTTGAGGAGGTAATGAGTAAGTTAGACAAAGGACAGCCGGTGAACATGATCTGTTTGGATTCCTAGAAGGTCTTTGACAAGATGCTACACAAGAGGCTGCTAAACAGGATAAGAGCCTTTTAAGGGTGAGGTACTGACATGGAAAGAGAATTGGCTGATTGGCGGAATACTTAGTGGGGATAAAGGGGTCTTTTTCAGGATGGCAGCTGGGAACTAGTGGGAGTTCTCCAGGGGTCATTGGGACCACAATTATTCATGTTATACGTTAATGATCTGGACGAAGGAACTGAGGGGATTGTTGCTAAGTTTGCAGATGACACAAAGAAAAGTGGAGGGACAGGTCGTGTTGAGGAGGCAGGGAGGCTGCAGAAGGACTTGGACAGGCTTGGAGAGTGGACAAAGAAGCAGCAGATAGAATAAGATGTCGGGAAGTATGAGGAAATACACTTTGGTAGGAGGAATAGAGGTGTAGACTATTTTCTAAATGGTGAAAGACTTTGGAAATCTGAAGCTCAAAGGGACTTGGGAGTCCCAGTTTTGGACCCTATATCTTAGGATTCATGTGCTGGCGTTAGAGGCGTTCCAGAGGAGGTTTACAGGAATGATCTCACGGATGAATGACTTGTCATACGATGAGCAGTTCAGGATTCTGGGCCTGTATTTGATGGAGTTTGGAAGGCCTAGAGAAAGTAGAGATGGACAAGATGTTTCCACTAGGAGAGGCCAGGACCCAAGGACACAGCATCGGGGTGAAGGGATGACCCTTTAGAACCGAGATGCGAAGGAATTTGTTCAACCAGAGGGTAGTTCATGCATGGACCTCATTGCTGCAGAGGAATGTGGAGGCCAAGTCATTGAGTGTATTTAAGACAGAGATTGATAGGTTCTTGATTAGTGAGGGGGTCAAGGGTTAAGGGGAGAAGGCACGAGAGTGGGGATTGAGAAACCTGTCGGGCATGATGGAATGGCAGAGAAGACTCGATGGGCCAAATAGCCTAATTCTGTTCCTCTGTCTTATGAACAGAAGTGAAAAGGTCACATGGGATTCAGAGTGAGCTTGCCAATTGGATACATAATTGGCTTAAATGCAGGAGACAGAGAATAATGGTGGAGGGTTGCTTTGCGGACTGGAGACCTGTGACCAGCAGTGTTCCACAGGGATCGGTTCTGGGTCCTCTTTTGTTTGTCATTTATGTAAATGATTTGGATGAGAATATGGAAGGCATGGATAGTAAATTTGCAGGTGATACCAAAATTGGTGGCATCGTACACAGTGAAGAAGGTTTTCTAAGATTACAAAGGGATCTTGATCAAATGGGAGTTCAATCTGGATAAATGTGAGGAATTGCATTTTGGTACAACAAGCAAGGCTAGGGCCTATACAATTAGTGGTAGGGCCTTGGGTAGTGTTGTAGAACAGAGGGACCCAGGGTTGCAGGAATGTAATTCTTTGAAGTTTCTGTCACATATAGACAGGACGGTTAAAAAGGGATTTGGCATGCTTAGAGATAGTAGGAACTGCCGATGCTGGAGTCGGAGGTAACAAGGTGTACAGTTGGATGAGCACAGCAGGCCAGGCAGCATCGGAGGAGCGGGAAAGCTGACGTTTCGGGAGGTGTTGTCGTTTGTCACGAACCAAGTGTAGATGCTCCACAAAGCGGTCTCCAAGCCTCCGCTTGGTTTCCCCGATGTAGAGGAGGCCACATCGGGAACAGCGGATACAATATGCCACATTAGCAGATGTGCAGGTGAACATCTGTTTAATGTGGAAGGTTTTCTTAAGGTCTGGGATGGAGGTGAGGGGGGAGGTGTAGGGGCAGGTGTAGAACTTCCTGCGGTTGCAGGGAAAAGTGCCAGGGGTGGTGGGGCTAGTGAGGAGTGTGGAGCGGACGAGGGAGTCACGGAGAGAGCGGTCCCTCCAGAAGGCAGATAAGGGTGGGGAGGGAAATATATCCTTGGTAGTGGGGTCAGATTGCAGGTGGCATGCTTGCCTTTATTGCTCAGTCCTTTTGAGTATAGGAGTTAGGAAGTCATGTTGAGCTTATACAGAACATTGGTGAGGCCTCTTCTAGAATACTGCATCCAGTTCTGGTTGCCTAGTTATAGGAAGGATATTATTAAGCTGGAGAGATTTACCAGGATGTTGCTAGATATGGAAAGTTTGAGTTGTAAATAAGGGCTAGATAGGCTGGGACTTCTTTCACTGGAGCATAGGAGAAGTTTATAAAATAATGAGAGGTAGAGATAGAGTTGACGATAGTTGTCTTTTCCCTATGTTGGGGGATTTCAAGACTAGGGGGCACATTTTTATGGTGAGAGGAGAGAGATTTAAAAAAGACAGGCAAATTTTTTACACAGAGGGTGGTTTGCTTGTGGAATGAACTTCCTGATGAAGCGGTGGATGCGGGTATGATTACAAAATTTAAAAGACATTTGGATGGATACATAAATAAGAAAGGTTTGGAGGGATATGGGCGGGCAGGTGGGACTAGTTTAGTTTGGGATTACGTTCAGCATGGACTGATTGGTCTGAAGGGTCTGTTTCTGTGCTGTATGACTCCATGCTTTTTTAGATACATATTAAAGACATTTCAAAGTTTGCAGATAACTCAGACTTGGAAGTGGGTCAAGCAGTGTGGTGAATGGTAACAGACTTCAGTTGGACATATTCTGCCAAAATAGACTAACATATGGTTGGTGAAATCTAATCTAGATGCTTTTGAAATGACACATCATGGTATGAAGAATAAAGAGAGACGATGGAAAGTAACTGCTAGAATTATAAAGGTGATTTAGGAGCAGAAAAACTTGGGAATGTATGTATACAAAACTTTGACACAAGATGGCAAATTGAGAAGACTATTAAAAAGTATATGGAATCTAGAATGGTAATAGGGATGAGAAATTTATGTGAAAAAACCAGGGAACTGTGATTGTTCTTCTCAGCAGAAAAGATTAGAAGGATAGCATGAATAAAAATAAACTTTCCAGTGTCTGAAGTGATAGTAACCCATGAGCAGAGATTTGATTGATAAAAGAAGAGGAGACACGAGGAAGCATTTTACACGACAGGTTGTTCTGACCTGGAATGTGCTGCCTGAAAGGGTGGTGGAAACAGATTCAACTGGTCACATGTCAAAGAAAATTTAATTTGCTTCAAGTATTTATTCATTACAGGGGCAATAGGAAAAGAACTGGGCAATGGATCTAACTGAATACCAAAGGGCTATTACAGGACTGAAGAACCATGTGTATCATTCTGTGATTTTGGTGTAGACCCAGTATGATGGGATAAGCATTTTTTCTGAACACAGCAATGCACAAATTCTACCTCTATTGACACTGCAATTGTGCATTTAAAAGGAAACTGGAGTTTTTAAAATAGCTGTTTTCTGAGCAATAATGAAAACTTGACAAAATAAATAAAGTAACCTGCATTGCTGCTCAACGTTTAATGTTGCAACAGTTTTGCAGCCTAGTCAATATGCCCATTCATTTCAGTACATGAAAGGAAAGTTCTGATATTAAATTGGGTTTCTTTTTCAAGTCTATATTCACTTGTCCCTGAGGTGTGTGTTCCATAGTTACCAAGTGCTTCTTCTAATATAATGAACAGTATGGAAAGTGATGCTGTGTAATGGCACTTTTTTTTAATTCATTCTTTTCAAGGCTAATTCAGGAAAAAAAAGTCTCTGAGTCCTACTTCCTCCACTAGTGACAGAACCAATTACTTTAGTAATAGCCTTGCTTCTGTTTCTTCTTATCCGCAGCACAAAAGCTGTCATCCGTTTCCATACCCCATTCATCGTGGAGCAGTATAAGCGCCTGTGCCAACTTCGAGAGCAGCTTGCCCTTGACTGCAATGCAGAGTGGCAGAAATTGTTGGAGTAAGTCATGGATATCAAGTTTGAATTGAAAATGTTTGATATAGAAGATAGGATCATAAAACTAAATTAAAACATTGATCAACTGCATCTGCAATAGTTTAAAATAAATAACCATTTCAGAAGGCAGTTAAGAGTCAAACACACTGTTGTGGGTCTGGAGGCCTGACCAGATCATGATCCCAAAGCATGAACATATTCTGTTGATGCTTATGCAACATTAGAAAGCAAGGAATTCTGTAATGAAATCTAGTGAAATTAGCATTTCAGGTGTAATAAAATTGAATAGTTGTACCTTCTAAATGTGCAATATTAGCATATATTCATGGCTACTTTGATATTATGAAAATTATTTTGTTTGAAAATTAATCATGAAAAATATCCAATTGGTTGCAAAAATGATCAGATGACTAGTAGCTAGAATGAGCTATCAGTGACCAATTTATTTGCAGTGTTCAAGAAAAGATCCCAGGGGAGGTGTTGGCTTGGTGGTAATTGTCACTGATGATTAGTATTCCAAAGCCCCAGGCTACTGTTCTAGAGACATGGGTTCAAATCCTACTATGTCAGATAGTGAAATTTCATTTCATAAAAGTCTGGAAATTTGAAAAAGTCTGGTCTAATAGTGACAGCCGATTGTTGTAAAAACATCTGGTTGATTAATATTTTTCAGGGAAAGAAATCTGCTATCCTTATCTGGTCAGGCCTTCATGTGACTCCAGACCCACAGCAGTGTGTTTGACTCTTAACTGCCTTATGAAATGGTTAGATCCTGGGCAATAAATGCTGGCCTAGACAGTGACTTTTTTTCAGAAAAACTAATCAGGGTGCTCATTCAAGATGTGGTAAAAGGACCTCGCCTTTAAGAAAACTCACATTTTTACGGACTTCATTTGCTGCGTGCATACAGTGCTGGTCTCTGCCTGCCTGTTGGTCTGCTTTGTGTTGGCAAGTTTAGCCCACATAAGTTGGTTGGTTGCTGTACTGTCTGCTTCATAAATTATTGTCTATTTTTCTGCTCTAATTAAGCTAATCCATGGAGTTATTCAGTTCCTAATAGGTAATTGATTATTAGACCAATATCTTCAACGTGACATGGTGACAACATTGGAAAACATCTGCTGATGAGGCCTATCAACAGTCAGTAAGCAAGTTAATCTGCAGGTAGAACACATAGTCTTAAATTGTGTGAGACAGTCCTAATAAGTCTTGAATGAGAAAACTTGAAAGAGAGTCAACATTTTAGCCAGATATCAGCAATAGCATCCTTGTTAGGAGATGTAAGGTGTGTCAAAAGCATGTGCCAAGTCATCGCAAAAACCAGTTGGTACTGCCTGAAGTCCCTGTCCATCACTGGTCCAAAATTGCATCTGACCGTTTTAATTCCCATGACTGTATTGTTATTGTTGACTACCAACTACTGCGTTATTCGTCAATTGTACAATACGTCAAAAATACCAAATGCTAAGCTCCGTTTTTGGTTATTTCTATTCCACCAGAGAAATGGTCGGCAATTTTTTGGTAAGTTATTTCAGGAAAAATGTAAGAAATGGAGTGTTGGTCAAATTACTTCTCCAGGTTGTCTCCACGACCAGTGGACTATCTGAATGCATGATTCACACAATCAAAAATCTAATCCTTAAACACAGACTGACCTACACATTTCAGTGTTACATATGAGAGCAACACCTCTGAGTAAAATCATTCCATCACTGGCAGAGTTTAGCAGACAGGTTGGCTCTGACTGTTCAAGGTTCTGCCCAAAGAAATGAAACTGCAAATGCCTGTTTGATATGATCTACCACTCTTTGGGACGTATAACCTACATAACCTGGCATTTTTCTGGCACTGAATTTCATATGCCATGCTACTTATGTGTGTTTTGGCTTGATGGCAGCATCTTGCTGGCAAACACCATGTGTTGCCGCTGCATAGTAGCAGCATCAAACAGAAATCTTCACCTATTGCACAGACCTTTCAGATACCATATCCTTTGAGGCTAAACTGAGGTATACTGAGCATCTTTCAGGACCAAGAGTGACTGCCAGTCATCAGACTGCACAATATACAACGAAACACGGTCTGCACCATGTAGCCATCATTGCACAGGATAGCTTTGATGTGACCTGTTTTACCATCAAGTTTACATGGTGACAGCCATTTGGTTTATTTCTCAAGCCAATACCCTGATTAACATAGCCAACTTACTTGGTTTACAATTAGAGAAAAGCCTGGCTGTTAACTGTCAATTGCTGTTAATTTGTGCATTCTCCAAGGCATTGCCTCTGCCAATCAATGTCTGCTTGTCAATCAATCAGCACTCACTCCTCATGCAGTATAACTGCCCTTTGCCCCTTCAGTTTGTATTCTTGCAAAATTTCCTGAAGTCTGAAAAGATGCAATAAAATGTGCTTTTTCTTTACAATAAAACAGAAATGATGTTCAGTTTTTTTCAGACTGGAATGTTTGATATTCCTCATCCTATAGTATTAGCAGTGCTACAAATATTTATTGTTGAGGATCTTGAAAAATTGTGAAGTATATTTTAGGTTATTTCACCTCCCTTAAAGAAAACCTTCTTCCAGAACACTATACTCCCTGAGGAGATGAAACAGTTTAAAATAAAAAGGTAATACTTGCAAATGAACTTCCTGGTTGTACTAGAGCTTCATTTCATATATAAGACCAGCATGTGTCATTTGCTCGACTTACTGTTTTACCTTCTGTGTTGCCTTTTTGCATAATTCCAAAATTCCTGTTTTGTTACTCTAACTCGACGACTGTTTAATGTATTAATTGTTGTACTTATGGGGAATGCATCCTAATATGCATCCAGAACTTGATTTTTGTTAGTTTGTATCTATATCCCTTTGTTCAAAGCCATAGGTTAATATGAAAATGTCCAGTAGATTAATGATTTCAATTCTGCATACTTTATTTTATAGTGTGGAGACTCCTCATCTCCTATTTTACCTGTTACAAGGCTAAAAGTCCAACATGTAAAGATGGGATCTTGTTATTTTTGTTTCACTTGTGTAAAGTGGTGCTGCGCTTTCTTCTTATTGCTTCCTAACATTGATGCTGTGACATTGTTAATGACTGCACAGTTGAAGCTTGTAGTTAGTGGAGTACCTCAAATGTTTGAGAATTAATATGTGAAATTGAGGAGGAACTACTAGGGAAGATGGGGTGACTGGGAAATAACTGAGAGATTTTCCAAATATTGATTTTAAATTTATCTATTCCGCGACCATATTGTGATGAATTCAACAGTTGTTGCATCCTACTTTGTCTTCCCAACGAATAAACGCTAGTGTTGACATAGGTTGCCAGACTCTCTAAAGCATTTGCATTTGGATGGTGACATGAAATGGTTTCTCTCCACTGAAGGAGGCAAAGTTAACATCATATTGGAAAAACTGCAGCTTTAACAATTGCAACATGCTTATCCTGAAAATGTTGGAAACTGGATTGAAGTGAACCAGCCTGAATAAGTCTGATCTCAACAAAGAAAATGAATGTCCAATTGATAATTCTTATTTGAATCTCCAAGTTTGAGCAAAACACTGTAAACTTTATATCCTTCTTTCCAAAAGTCAGTGTTTTTTTTATAGGATGGTGTAAATGCTGTGCTAGGATACAAAAGTGGATGGATAGTAACTTGTTTAAGCAACATTCATTATTCATTGGTAACTGATTTTCTTTTGCTATATCTTTCTGTTCATGTACAGTCAGTTTGGCGAACACTATCGTGGAATAAGAAATGCAATCAGTCACCTGGCAACCATTGATTGCATCTTTTCATTGGCAGCAGTTGCTAAGCAAGGAGGATATACGAGGTAATAAAATGGTTTTATAATCTTGTTGTTGTCCCTTTCTGCTGTTCCTCTTGAAGTTTTGTTTAATTTTTGATCTCGTTGTCAAACTTCCAGTGCAGTTCTCTGTGGTAATTGCTCAGTCCCACTTTTCTTTGCAGTTTCTGCTCTCGGAATTAAGCATTGTATTTATACAATGCTGTACACAACTTCATGGTGTCCTATAGTCTTTATAGTCAATAAAGCATTTGTGAAATGGTGATGTTGTTGCAAATGAAGAAATATGACGGCTAATTTTGCACACCGCAAAATCCCGTAGACAGCAATGAGATAAATGATTTTATGATTGATTGAGAGTCGGTCTATCAGGAGAACTGCTTTAATTAGTATACTAGGATCTTTTATGTTCATTCAAGAGAGCCATGATTGTGTAGGTGCTGGTATTGGACTGGGATGGACAAAGTCAGAAGTCACACGACACCAGAACTACTTCACCTGACGAAGGGGTTACGCTCCGAAAACTTGTGATTTCAAATAAACCTATTGGACTATAACCTGGTGTCGTGTGACTTCTGACTTCATCCAAGAGAAAAGATGGAACCCTAGTTTAACATGTTATCTAAAAGTCAGCATCCTACCAGTGCAAAGTATTTTCACTGCTCTACTGAAATGCCAGCCTGAATAATTTGTTTCTGTCCTGGAGTGCAGTTTGAATTCACAAACTTCTGTTCTCAACCCTGAACCAATCTCTTCAATTTTAGTCTGTTATGAAATGTCTGTTTCTTCCTAATAGTATATTACTTCAAAATGACATCTGAAGGATTGGAATGCAGTATTTAATAATGATATACTGTATCTTAAAATTAAACTTAATCATCCCTAATCCTCATGGCTGTGTGTGTGAGATACTGTGTATTTTGTTTCATGTGTATACTTTAATATAATAACATTGAAGTTTGTTTGCTATAAGGAAAATAAGGAATAAATCCATTAAATCTGCTCCTTTGTTCAATAAGATGATGGTTGAACACTGGCTCACCTTCTTTATTACCTTGATTCCCTCAGTGCCGCGTCTTAATTACACCTATTGACTGAGTAATCACGGCTCTGAGAGAGAGGATTACAAAGATTCATCATTCCCTGAATGAAAAGATTTGTCAACTTCACATGCTGTTTCCTTATCCTGAGGTTATGATTTCCCACTTGTCTAGATAAAACATTTTCAGAGCATCAGGTGTCCTTCACATTGCCAAAATGTACAAAGGTTCAGTTGTACAAGTTGTGCAAACATGGCAACAGCATTAAGTAAGTGAAGGCCTTTAGTCCATCTAGCCCACCTATCCCATTTGTTGACTTAATGCCAGTCTAGTTCCTTCTTGAATCCATTCAGGTTTCTTGTTCTAGTGTCAATGCTGCTAGTGCTATTGACCTTTACACCCACATGAGAGGCCTTTTAGGATTTCAGCTTAGTGTCATGGAAAGGAAGGCACTTGTAATAGGGCAGTATACCCTCAACATTTCAGTAGAAAATTATACTAGTTTGTGTTCAAGTTCCAGGAATGCAAATGGAATCACATATAGTTCAGACCAGTTAAGGATTGCAGGTTATCTTCCCTAAAGGACATTGTCGTAGAAGTCCATCTGGTTTGCTAATTGACGATGAGTTGACGGTCTTGAGTAGCATTTTTCTTGGAATTGCTAATGTTCAAAATTAAATTGCAAAGAAATCTAAAAAAAATCCAATTATTGCATACTACATTATGCTTTACCGAACGGAATGTCTTTTAAAATGTTATTTAATGCCTTTTGTTGAAATTTTGTTTTTAAACCACAGGCCCCTCCTATGGTCCAATTGGAGAAAACCTGCTTGGTTTAAATTTAAATGAAGGTTGGCAGTTACCTGTCTGTCACCATGTAACTGGTACATTCTTTGCACTCAATGCTTCTGCCAACCAATCAGCAGTCTCTTGTAATAGTATGCTTTCTCCCTTCACATTGTTATTTCTTATCCATTGTCTTAATAAGTGTAAGATGAAAAGCTTCAACAAAATGGCTTTTTTCATTATAGCCTTGGCATATTTACAGTGTTTTTCTCTCATTTGTTAACAAAATCTCTTTGGCTGATCTTCAAAATTATTTGAAAAGGTTGAAGAAAATATTCTAAAGCTTTATTCATGTTAAGATTACATCTTTTTAATTGCTAAGGTATGTGAAGAAAGTGAACTGATTTAATTTCCACCCTGATGCAGCATCAATAATCTATATGGTAGTTTAAATCTTGTTTACACATACTCTTCCTGTTTTATTAAATCAACACTTAGCATTGAAACTGCCAAGATGTAAGAAAAGCGAATATTCTGTAGGCAACCAGTGGTCTGTGATGAGGTAATTGGAAGTTTTAATTGAAGTTCATTATTTTGACAATGTGGAATGAGTTTTTGAAAGCTCTCTCCCATCTCTTTACCAATTTTTGTATTAATCAACTGAACATGGACAATATCACAGGCAATTTATTAGACCTCCTAAGAATTATCTTTTTAAACTTCATTGAACTTACTGTTACAAAAGAAAGGGGCTTTTCCTCCTAACTTGAATATCTTTTGCTATTGAAAAGGACAAATGATTTTTATTTTCAAGTAAGCAGTGATTCTGATTATCGCATGTGTTTGAGTTGGAAAATTTAAACATTCTATGTGCTGATATCTATAACATAAGAAGAGAGAGACATACACAGAGAGTGAGAGGTTAACACAGAAAAGCAAATGAGAAACCAATCACTAGATTGAATGTTCAGAGAATTGTTTTAAAGTTGCTCCTTCATGGTTTCAAAAAAAAATCCGCAAACTTTCTAAACAAGGGCCCATGTCAAGCAGTTAAATTGGACATTGTTTCCAAGTGATTTATGAAGGGATCTATGAAGTAGAAATAGATTGTGTCCACTGGTCAATAATAAAAAGGAACAAATTATATTAGAATGGAAAAGCATCACAGAAATTTCTTGCATGATTAAAACATATAATGTTCTGCTGAGCGCCACTGTTAAAATCATCAAGAAATTCTTTTAAAAGGAATTAGATAGTTGCTTGAAATAGCAGGGGAACAGAGCAGGACGGTGGATTAGGATAGCTTTCTCAACAAGAGATAAATAGATCATTTTTGTGTTGCAGATGTTGCTGTCTATTCAATTGGTTGTTTGTGAAGTCTAAAGCATAGCCTTTAGATATAACAGGATGAAGTAATCTAACCTTTCATGTTATGTAGATTTCTCTGCAGTCCCTTGCCTGATCAATAAATTATTGAACAAGTGCCAGTTTTTGGGATGTCGGTGTTGCTACGAGGTCTTGTGCATGTTTCATTGGCACAGCAGTGTGTTAGTTATGATAAGGTCATTTTCTGGACATTTCATCAAGTGGCTCCATTGGCACTATATTTTCACTGTACCCTCCTTGCCAATCGTTCCTTGGTCTTGCCCATTGCCTCGAGTGTAGGAGCCTATGTGGTTATGACATAGTTATGTTGATTTTTTTATTGGAATGAGCTGAGCTATCATGAGAAACTTGATTATTCCACTGGGAAATACACTGAGATGCTAGACAATTTTTGATGGCCATGTCCACCCTGTGGAGTGGTCATCTTCTTTCTTCAATTGGCCTTCTGCATATTGTGCCTCCCTTAGGGCAATATCAATGTCAAAGCACCAGGGTACTTGAGCTGCATTGTTGGTACAGTGCTCCGGTTTGTCACTATGCGGGTTGTCCATGAGGGTCTGATGGTCTAGGTTCTAGGCTTCACTTTGGCAATTGGAAGGTGCCTACATGTGATTTTTCTTTTGACATTGGGTGGTTGTTGCATACTCACTTCACTGAAAAATAAGAACCTCTTCTAACCAGCTCACACAGCCCAACAGTATCCATTCACCCAATTGATTAAGGTCCACAGACATTACATGGAACATATTGACCATTTTCCATGTCTTGGCAACCTCAACTTGTTGAAATTCCTCCATCTCCCTTATGCCATTTATGCCTTCACTCGACTGAGAGAAAGTGTATTTGAGGACAGGGATCTCAATTCCAAGACCAAGGTCCTAGTTTACTGAGCAGCTGTGGTTCTGGAACTCCTGTATGCCGAAGAGACTTTAACAATCTGCAGTAGGCACCATAAATCTGTGCAAATTCTTCAGATCTAGTGGTAGCAAAGGCCTTCAAGTAGACCATCCTTTCCCAAGCCAAATTGTCCAACATCAAGGAACTTGCCATCAAAAGCTGGTCCACTGGTCAGGCAATCTAGTTTCATTCCTTGACATCAGGCTCCCAGTGCAATTGCTCTACTCTGACCTCTGTCATGGCAGGAGACTCCTGGAGAGCAGCAAAAACGCTTTCAGGATGTCCTCGAAGCAACAAACGATCAAACATCCCCACTGACTTTTGTAAGTCTCTGGTATGTGACTGACCAAAATGGAGAAAGTTCATTTAGAAAGTCACCAAATACATTGAGACAGTTCATAGGGGAGAAGTCAAGGCATCAGAGAAAATACACAAATACCTGTGTGCTGAAATATTCAAGCACCCCATGCAGTAATGAATCATATATCAAAACAAACAGCTGTTCCCTGCGTGACTTGTACATGTTGACTTGTATTTTGTAATTGTTAACATGAGTGCTTTCACCTTATATAGAGCATAGCTGTGTTACATTATTTAATAATACTTCAAATATTCTGTTATTTGTACAGACCAACTGTGCTGGAAGAACAGAGACAAATAATGATCAAGAATGGTAGACACCCCATAATTGATGTTCTTATGGGAGAACAAGAGCAGTATGTTCCAAATAGTACTGAACTTCATGTGAGTATTCAATAACATCTTTCAGTGCCGTATATTGATAACTATTGGGTTGATTGGATGTTTTTGCTTCAAAATTTAGATTTTTGTTCAGAACATGTGGCTTAAAGTAATTGCATTAGAATGTTTTTTCTAGATTTTCTAAGTGTACATGAGAAGTGTTGGGGTTGGTGACAAAGTGAGCCAGAGGCGATCTCACTCTTGACCTGCTTCCCTGATTCCTCCCCCTAACTTCCTCAGAGGCTTTGTGTACTTTCAAAATATGACTTTTCTTAAAAGAAAAATGTGAAGTTGGAATGTGGGATGCATCTTTCGGTCTGCCTGTGCTACTTGCTTGTACTGATATCAGTAATCATCACCTCCTTTTAAAAAAAGGTCTGTCTATTCAGTGAATTGACTCCTATCCAAATGAAGTGGCCGAGCAAAGAAATTTGGGTGCTCAAATTCACAAATCTTTAAAAGCGGAGGACAGGTTGACAAGGATACTAAAGGAGACACATGGTATGCTGGAGTGCAAAAGCAAAGAGGTTAGGTGACCTCATGCAAATCTTTGGCTAGGCTGTGGTTAACAATAACATGCTGACTTTTGGATATACTTCAAGCAGACTTTTACTGAAAAGGTATAAAAGTTTTATTAAATTGGTCCCAAGACAAGGCCTTTAATTATGACCATAGATTATAGAAACCATAACCCCTGATAAGGGCAGAAGGTAAATGGAAAACTGATGGAAATATTCAAAAATAATGAATAGCATGAAAGATTCCATGTGTTCAGTAAACCAGAACTTATTAGATTGTTGCCAAAAGGTGGAGTGGCGATATTTAAAGGATTATTGTACAGCAGGCATATTGAGACACAGAATGTATTAATTTGAGTCAGTGGTGGATTCCTGTATCCAGAGAACATGTTTAAAATCTGGAACATTTCACACCTTTCAGTTCTACTTGCAGCTTTTATTTATGTCCCTTGTAAGGACTTTTACGATGTAGGATGATTTATGGAACATAATACTTCACAAATAATATCATTGTATTTCTTATTCCAACTGCTGTTAATATTTAGCAAATTACTCAGAGAATATAGTCAGGAAACATCTGAACAATAATAACTTCTGAATGCTGAATTTAGGATGGCATGGTGGCTCAGTGGCTAGCATTGCTACCTCACAACACCAGGGACCCAGGTTCAATACCACCCTCAGGCAACTGTCTGTGTGGAGTTTGCACATTCTCTCTGGGTGCTCTGGTTTCCTCCCACAATCCAAAGATGTTCCGGTTAGGTGGATTAGCCACGGGAAGGCAGGGTTATGGGGATGGGGTTTTGGGTTGGGTCTGGGTGGGATGCTCTTTGGAAAGTCGGTGTGGACTCAATGGGCTGAATGGCCTGCTTCCACACTGTAGCAATTGTAGGATCCTATGTTCATTGTTTGTGATTTAAATTTCATTTCAATGCCAGGTATACAACTACTGGGCAGGTTGCCTCTTTTGACGAAAGAAGAGAATTCTGGCTATTTGGAACCCTCGTGCTCTGATTCTTGATTTTCATTTTCAGACATGGCAAGAAACCTCAGTTTATTTTACTTCTTAAAAAAAAGAGAAAGCACAAATCAGTGGGTGGCGTTGAGGTCAGTGAATACATCTGAGGACAAAGCACTTAATGAGTGAAAATATGGAACTAACTGCCTCCTTCCTGATATATCATTGACTGCTTGATAAAAACTTTGGCTCCAGAGTACAATGTTGGAAATAAGTCGATGGCACAATGTAGCCTCTTAGATCTATCCATTTTGTTTGAGGTAATGAAAACAGTTTTTTGGTAGAAATTTCTTATGATGTATGGGAAGATATTTGTTGAGTTTAATTCCCTGCACTACAGGTAGTTACTTTCTTCACAGTATGTAGACTAAGTCAAATGTCTGTAATGACCACTGTACTCTGATAATTATGTATTTAGGACAAGTTAACTTTCGTAAAATATGCCGCAACCTTGAAGATGAAAGCTCTAGGAGTGCATCTGTAATATCATTCCCAGTGCTCTAATTGAGCTATTCAGTATTCGCTGTTGTGATATTTTCCCATTATTGTAAGAAGCAACTTCCGTAGAAGTACTCATGGTCTCAGCTCAGACGCAGTAATGTGTTTATTATTTTCATTGTAAAGAGCCATTGATCATTTTGTTGCAAACTTTGCTATGATCACCGCTGACCCCAACCTAAAATCTGGTTTGATAGATCATGCATGTTAGTTTAAACTTCAAAACTCCAAAATAAATGATATTAATATATATTTAAATCACCCACTTTACATCAAATGCTCCCCCATCAAAAGAAAAATGAAAATGTGACTTGTTGATTGAATTATCATTACTCATCAATATTATCTTAACAGTACAGTGACAGTAGCAACGTATTTGCATTGCATATACAATGAGTTACAGAGTAACCATATTTTACGTTGTTTGCTGGGTACCCCTCAATGCTCTTCAGATATGTGATAAAGCCTGTGCCTACAAAAGAACATTTTATAGCAATGAATGATTTTCAAATTGTACAGTTGAAGAATTAAGCTCCATTGAATCAGTCTTTAAGGTCTAGTCCCCACATAATTCCAAGAAGGGTGGCACGATGGCTTCGTGGTTAGCACTGCTGTCTCACAGCACAAGGGACCCAGGTTCTATTCCACCTTTGGGTGACTGTCTGTGTGGAGTTTGCACATTGTACCTGTGTCTGTGTGGGTTTCCTCCGGATGCTCCGGTTTCCTTCCACAATCCAAAGATGTGCAGGCTAGGTGGGTTGGCCATGCTAAATTACCCCATAGTGTTCAGGGATATGTAGATTAGGTGGGTTATAGGGGGATGGCTCTGGGTGGGATGCTCCAAGGGTCGGTGTGGACTCGTTTGGCCAAAGGGCCTGTTTCCACACTGTAGGGATTCTATGATTCCTATGGTGAAAATCAAAGGAATCTGGTCTATTTAAATAACAGTTTATTTCATGTAGTTGATGATGTAAATCTCAAAATGATACAGATGCATAATAAGACTCTGTCAGGTCCTTTTCTATTGTAGGGATATTTTTGTTGACAGTTTCTTCTGAAAAATACCTGCCGGGTCGTTCAATCCCCATCTCATCACCTTGCGGTAAAACAACCCCACACCAATGTTACTAGCCTCGCCAGCCAGTTTGATTGGCTTTGCGTATTTCTCATGGATAAAGGAGCATGGTTGTCAGAGCAGCTTTCAAGTTTTCAAAGCTAGAAGCAGCTGTTACACAACTCTTCAATTATTCTGTTCGTTAATCGTTGAAACATTGCTGGTGCATGTTGCATCCCAAACTTGCACTGATAAATTTGGTATTACAAAAGCTGATTATTTTTAGCTCTATCAGTCAATGGAACTTGCCAAATATACCTTTTAGAAATTTGATTTTTTAATATGTTTATCTTTTCAACATATTAACATGACACATCAGTGACTCTTTCTCCTGACTTGAGTACTCATTACATAATTCACATAATGGAGTTTTTCTTTGATTTGATAGGATCCAATGGATCTTATTTTCTAATGGATGGCCAAAGATGGTAACAATACTAACACCTTGTCTTCATTCAGTTTATCCTTCGCAATTTTACTTTTTGTGGCTCTTACTATTTGATCTGTTACTATTTTTATTCTTTTGCATGTCAGTCCTGGGAATCTAAACTATCTTTTGCACTTTGGATGTTTATTTTTAGTTTTATCTTGTCCCGTCTCTCTTTTATGAGCCATGATTTTCTTCAGTAAAGTTGAAGATTTGGCCTTAGGGACAAACTGGCTCTGAGGGGATTTGCTTGAATTGTGTCAAACTGAAACGTATTCCCTAAATGTATTGTGGAAACAGATTCAAGAGAATCTTGTAGAAGGGAATTAGATGTATGCTTGAAAAGAAAAGGAATTGTACCGCTTCAGGGAAAAGATTAGAAAGAGATTTCAAAGAGCTGGCATATGCATGATGAGCTGAAAGAAAGAACGTGTGATAATCTATTTCTCAGAAGAAAATGTGCAGTTTTATTCCAACAAATTATATAAGCACATATTTATGGAGCTGAACTGCATCCTGTCTGATTTTGTCTTGCCATAAAATAGACAAATTTAATGTGACTAAGGGAACTGAATTCCCTTTTTGATACATGACCTCATCTTTTTCTGCCCAATATCCTCTTGAGTTTCTGCAGATTGCCCATTCTGCATCACTGGTGAGATCTGGCAGTAGACTCTAATGTCAATAAGAGCATGTATCTCTCTTCCTATTCTTCAACTCACAGCAATGCAGGATGACTATATTGTACTCCTCCAGTATAGTGTTTCATTGCAGGAGGCAGTTATCTTCGTATATTGGGTTGAGCCGAATTAAAGGATTGCAGTCAACTGCGGAGAATATGAACATTCCCTCCTTCATTTGCCTTATCTGTATACAATTCTATTCCTTGCTCCCTTTTTGTATTTAAGCTTCCTCTTCAAGGTTTCTCTCTGTGCTGTTGCAAGTTCTACGTTTTAGCCACTCTGGGTAAATCCTTTTCTTCTATATTATTAATCAAATTTAATGGTGACTATGATAAGTATAACCTCTAGTTTTGAACTGCCTCAAGAGTGAAAAGATCTTCTTTATATCTACCCTACCAAACCATTTCATAAAGTCTAAAGGCTTCAGCTTTCGTTTTGTTGTAGTATCATCCTTGTAGAGTTTTACTTTGCACCTTCATCAGTGCGCATATCTCGTTTCCTCTCCACCCCTTTTTATATTTGCATTCATTTTGACAACAATTTCTTGACTGTAAACCTGCGAGGTGTCTTCTTAGAAATAGAGGCAATCGGGGATCCTTACTCATCCACAGTGGCAGATATGGTAAATAATGCAGTTCTAGCAAAGCTGCACCAAGCAAGAGAAGTTAAAAGAATGTTTATCTGGAATCTGGCATTATCTGGTAGCACTAATATTGGTTTTTACCCCTGGCGAATGTGAAGGATAATTTCTGTTGAAAGTGAACAAATTATTCCAGAGCAAGCAATTTCAACACAAAGAAAAGCAAAATTCTGCAGATGTTAGAAATTTGAAATAAAAGTAGACATTGCCATATAAACTCAGCAAGTCTGGCAGCTTCTGTTGCTAGAGAAACAGAACTGATGTTCTGAGGCATAGTGGATTCATATATTAGCCGTTTCCCTTTACAGATATAGCCAGACGAGCTGGGTTTCGTGGGCAGTTTTAATGTTATTTTAAGACAAGATTTGAGTCCTTTATGTCCCCAGCTATTAGTTTATCATATCATCCTTCTTAAAATATAGAAATGGAACTAAATAACTCCATATCTTCTCATCTGAATGGACTTGAAGGTGTGCCCTTACGTAATTGGACTATAGTTTGGTGAGACATGATGGGAGGCTATAGGATTTGATCCATATGAATTATCTGCAGCAAAGGAATTGAAATCTAGATACATTTAGATTGATTATACTAAAGAAGATCATTGAATCCCTACAGTGTAGAAGCAAGCCATTCGGCTAATTGGGTCCACATTGACCCTCCAAAGGGTATTCCACCCAGACCCATCCCCCTATTCCTATCACCCTGTGTTTCCCATGACCAATCCACATAGCCTACACATCCCTCGATACTATGGGAAATTTAGCATGGCCAGTCCATCTAACCTGCACATCTTTGGACTGTGGGAGGAAACTGGAGCATGCAGATGTGGGTAAATGTGAAAACTCCACACAGACTGTCGCCCAAGACTGGAATTGAACCCGGATCCCTGGTGCTGTGAGGCAGCAGTGCTAACTACTGAGCCACCGTGCTCATTTTATTCACATTTTATTCATGCTAATAACTGGTGATTAAATTAATGGCAATATCGGGTTTTGGATATTTGATCATTACAATGGTCTCAACTATGTGAGTTACACATTTTGGGGAGCTGCAAATCTGTCTACCTACACTGTTTTCCGTTAATTTCAGTGGTATCTTGTAGCTTGAGTGTTTGTCCACCTACTGTGCAGATAATAACAATAAACATGTTGCATATATTTGTGTGGATCAGCAGTAAACTTAATCAAGATCAAGATTGATATGGGTCCCCCACCTGGCACACAGTATTGGGTAGCCTCACCTTTGCAGCTGTATTGCAGTTTGTCACTGATTTGTAATACATCTTCTCTTGGTCCCTATGGATACTGCCTATGGCTATTACCCAACTCCTGTGGAGTATATTGATTTGATCTCCTTTGGGAAAGGTCTGTGAAAGGGATCCCTGCCCTAGCATGGTGTGCAGCAGGGAAGGACATTTGAAACCACCCTCCTGTTTGGTTTTCATTCTCCCACCTACTGTGTAGTACAGCAAGCGTATCCTATGCCAGTAGCTTGTGCTGAATAATAAATTAGCCCAACCCTACAGGTTCTGGTGATTTTATTGTACTGAGACCAGTGTATCAAGCCTGGTTGTAAAATGCAGCCTTAAATCTTAATTAAATTGTTTTGTGTTTATTCTGTGGTTTTGAAGTTGCGAATGGAACACACTTTACAAATGATACGATTGATCTATTGATACAATTTTTAAAATTTGCTTTTTCTTGTATCTAAAATGTTGGTCAAATGTTATTTGTAGTATCCATGTACTTTGAATGAATTGTATTGCCTGGGTAATTTGCTGTGTTACAATTCATTTTGAACAGTAATGAGCTAATCAGATTGTAGACTGGTGACAATAATGTCACTGTTAATTTTTTTTTTTTCTTTTTCTCTGCCGGCCTGCTGCCATCCTGTTTGTGTATATCCTTTGTAATTTCCAGGAAATATGAAAATATACATTGTGGAAATTGCATTATCCCATCTTCAGTTGGTATAAGCCTTCTTGACACGTGTGCATTGAACCTTCACTAGCTCGTTGGGTTGCTTGCCTAATCAAATAGAACCATGGACTGTTCTACCTGAGTCACTATTTGGAATTTGACCTCTTCCTACACTTGATTTTTGAGCATCTCATACAACTATTTCTCCAGTTGTATGCAGTAATTTGGAGTTCCCTTTGCTGAGCCGGATCCACTGCTTTGAAACACTTGTTGAATAAAATGCTTGTTGAAATCTTAATTAAATGTTTCAAGCTAATATAAAGCATGGCAGTAGATCTGGATCAATAATTAGAAAATAATTAAGCAATGATATGATCCGTGAATGTCCAGATCATGCTTTGAGACAGCTGTTTCTTGGGCTGTCCACTGATCATTAATTTTTCTGGGTCTTGTTTTGCAGGGCGATGGACAGAGAGTTATGGTAATTACTGGGCCCAATATGGGAGGAAAGAGTTCTTACATTAAACAAGTGGCACTGATTACTATCATGGCACAAATTGGGTCTTATGTCCCTGCAGAAGAAGCTGTGATTGGCATTGTGGATAACATTTACACAAGGTATGACTTTAATTTCGCAAAATGAACAAATGCTTCAGACAAGAATTCGTTTCCGTTGTTTCCCTAATCCCTTGTGATCATTTCATATGGCTTTCTTTACTAAAACACTGCCAACATTTGATCTCGCTGTGTAGATTTTTCATCTAAAATTAGTTTGTTCTGAAATAAATAATTTGAAATGAATCTAATTCAGATAAAAAGCAAAATAATAATTACATTTTGGAAGAAATTATTCTATGTGCTCTCGTTAACACTTTAGATTGGTGAACAAATGTGTGTCAAGTTCTTGCCTATGTTATTTGAACAAATTCCTTAGAAGGGATTTGACTGTTAACCAACGTATCAAAAATATAATCTGGATTTAGGTTCAAATTCAAGGCAGGCTGGTGAGGTAATTGCCTGTACCGATACTTGCTTTTGTTCCTTTCTTCTCCTCTCATTCTTGCTGTCACCTTCTCAGCATCTGCAATGGTCTAGAGTGATTTTGAGGAGTCTTATTCCAGCTCTAAGAAGATGTGAGCTTCAACAATAGCTGGATCCTGTGGAATTTCACCCCCTAATTTCTTTTGACAATGCAAGATTAATCCACTAGAATTTGTTCACTCTGTTGTACTCACTGGCGTAGACTTGTTGCTAAGTTCTAAATAATTACTGATAAGAACTATAGTAAGACCAGGACACTATTTATTTTGGCTAGCACGAGATACGTCTGAAGTCATTTTGAAATTGAATATATAAACAGTAGCTGATGCCGCAGAAGCAACGTCGGTAGCAAGTGAAAGTGCCAGCAATGTTCAGGCTACTGGTGAGAAGACCTACCGACTATGAACGTTCTGGTGGGTGGCCTTGAAGATCCATGTTGGGAGCGAGAAGTACTATAATGCAGCCTATCTTGTAATGAAGCTTAACCAGTTGGGAAAGTCTTTGTGCATCAGTGCTGAACATTTGACTGCATCTCGAAGTTACACAATATTGTCATTTCAACTATCATGCTACTTAAGCGATTTCTGCCCAAATATTGAAACTTGATTACTTGTATTTAATTCAGTTATTTTGTTGAGAAAGAAAATAAAACAGAGTGCAAGACTGTAGTGATTTTAACAGGGTCAGCCAGGTGGACCTCATAGAATAGGAGTTCCCTGATTGGGCCTGTTAATCTGGTCCAGTTAGGGAGGCCTGGCTAACTGATATAAACAGGAATGTTGGACACTCTGTTCACTGGATCTGAGGGAATTGGATCAGTGTCAAGGACTTTCCTTGTAAATAAAGGGTGAGTTGGTGAAGGGATACTGGCCTCTATGGAGTTATTTCAAAGATTGTGTGTGGAATCCAGCGTGCAGAATTTGCTAAAATGTTTTAATCAATTTTGTCTTTAATGTTGCTTGAAACAGTGTAATTAATATACTGAGAGAGCTGTTATCGTCAAGATTCCTGTTTAGCTTGATGATTTCAGCAATTTCAGATTAGTGAAGCCGTAGAATTAACTGTCCAAACCTTTTATTGCAACAGTTTTGTGTCAGATTGTACAATTTAGTTCTTTCATAACCTTTTTAGCAGATCATAGTTTTGAATTGACAGAGTTTTTTCAAATTAAGAGATGGAAGCAAACTTCTTCTAGTATGCCTTATGTGTAGTATTGTGGGATTTTGTTGCTTCTTTGTAAAAGTAATTGTTAAACGTGGGATTCCAGTAATCATTTTTATCAATGCAACGTGATGCATCATCTGTTAATTTTATCATAAAGATTGCCACAACAAAGGAGATATAATGAACATTGCTGTTACATAAATATAATGTAATCTGCATGAGTAATGTTAGATAGCTTATCACAGTCCAACTGGTTTAATATCCTGCCATGTGGTCCACTGCATCAGTTAGAATATCGTAATTGCAGGAGCAGTAAGTGTGTTTGCTACATTGACATTTAGAGTGTCATTGGCAGTACCCTCTTCGGCCTTTTCCCATTCATCACTATTAACCGTCCTTTTTAGGAACAGTAAGAGCTATTATATCCAAACAAATCTGTCCCTTATTCATAAATCAGTTTCAATTGTTTGCCATCTCACTATATCTCTCATAATCTTTTCTCTCTGCATAAATTCATCTAATTGCCTTTCGATCTCATTCATTCTGTCCACCTCCATTGACCTTACTTGGTGATCATGACAGTTTCCTGGATGGATATATGAAGAACGTGCAGTCATTTCACAAGCAGCATGTTTTATCACCGTTCCAAACACATACTCTTTTGAATTATGTTATGCAAGGACGTCTCACCTTGCAATCTTTGTAACTGAGCTAATCAAAAGCTCCACTGGTCTCTATCTTATTCCATACCCTGTCCATTCACCTGTCACCTCTGTGTTCAGAGGCTTATAAACAGTTTGACTTTAAAATTCTCAACCCTGTTTTTGAAGCCTTTGGGAAAGGTGACATATGTGGGAAGAAACCGAGTTAATGTTTGAGATTGATGATCTTTCATCAGAACAGGAGGAGGATAGAAATCAAAGAGTTTTTAAGCCAATAGACTGGGGAAGGGTCAAGAAGAAAAAAAGGAAGTGTCTGTGGTAGGGTTGAGGTAAAGAGAGATTAACTGACGCAAAATTTCATGATGCTAAAGCCAAAGGCAGTGGTAATGGATATAGTAAATGAGCAAAGGTTTGTGCCATGTTAACTGTGAATGACTATATAGCAGGCATCTGAATGCAACATGAAGGGGTAAAGAAAGAAACGTGCCAGTGAAAAAGAAAACACACAGAGCAATGTGGAGGTCGAGATTGATTATGATCTACAATTGTCGTACACCGTATTGAGTCCAGAAGGCTGTAGAATGCCGACAAACCTTGAGGTGCTGCACCTTGAACCCAGACTGCAGGTTTGGGGGATTGGGGCTGACTGGGGCCAAACTGGCATATCCTGGTGAGCTCAGGGCAGGGGTGAGGAGGAGCAAATGACGGAACACTGGGGTGTCTTCAAGAACTGGTCACACTTGCAAGGAAACTCCCCCACCCCATGGCCACAGGAGCGAAACTGTCCCCACTCTGCCTTGTTCTGTGCCTGCACGGAGGCCACTGGGTTTTACTGTTAAGCCTATCAGGATGGTGAACTGTCCACTTCTCTTCACCCACCGCTCCTGATGTTTTATCAGTGGAAAAAGGAAGAGCATTAATTGGCCATTTAAAGGCCTCAGTTGGAACACACCCCACTGTTGGTAAAATTCCAGAGGTGCGTAGAGGGGAGGTAGCCGTGTTAACACCCCAACACCACCACCCCCAACCTCCCATTCAATTCTCACCCCCTTGGTGTAAGATAGCTGCTCCTGTGTCAACTGGTAAACCAGATTTCAGTCTTTTAGAATATCATGACTTCTGAAATTTTGAATATCAACACTGTTTATGTTTCTTGTGTTGTTGATGTTTGTCGCTATGTGAGAGGTTTCAGTGTATCAACAGATCTGTAGCTTCTCTTGCCATAGGACCCAATTCCAATTTATGCAGCAAAGGTAATAATAATCTGTCACTTACTGATGGCATACGTTGCAGTTTGTTAGGAAGTAGCCTCATTCCAGAGCAGTCCCTAGTTGCAATATGTTGAATAAAAGCACAATTAATTCATATCCAGTGCTTTGACACAGCCAACAACGAAGCTGCGAAACATTGAAAAATAAAAAGCTTGTTCACTTGCCAAGGCTCACTTTCAGCTGTGTAAAATAATTCTGTTTTGACAAACATCTTCAAGTCTTGTTTCCTGACTGCATTGACTGTGTAAATTAGATAAATTATTGATTTAGTCACATATTATTGATTCAGTCATAAAAGCAATTATAACATAATTCTTCCTCATTGCATAACCAACTTGCCAAAAGCTGTAAACATTCCTCATGAATTTATATTTAATCAGTCTCTATCTTATGATAACAATATGAAAGCTTTTTAAAATTGTTACTGTTATGAGAAAGGAATTTAATATGTGCTGTATATTTTAACTGTTGAAGTACATCACATTTATTTTATTTTTAAAAAATGCCTTTTTGTCCTTTTTACTAATTATTTTAGGAAAGGAGCAACTTTATAAGAGGGCAGGATGGATTTTAAACTAGTGTAAATGGGTTGTACAGGATGAGAAGCTGATGGGTTAGAGAGCAATTATGACCTGTGGCTAAAACGAGCAAGAACAAGGATTTAGGAATGGAAAGAGGAAGGAGCAAAGCATTTTCTATTGATCTGAGAGGGAGGAAGAAGTGGATGGATGATAGAACAGTTTAACCAGGAAGAAAGTGGAACTGGAGTACACCAGGAGGAGAACACAACATGCTTGGAAGAGAAGCACAGACATTTGTTAGCTCTATGTACAGGCAACACAGAAAGAAGGGTGAGAAACAGATAATTAGCCTCATTAAACCTGCTCTATCACTCAACAGTATAATTTTGTGCAGTGTTCAGCCGTGATATCCCTGTCTTGGGAGAGGCAACAATAAAGGGGAAAAAGACAAGTAACTGATTAATAAAACAAAACAGTGATGCAGGCAAATTCCTCCCTGACTCTCAAAGGTAAACAAGCGAGCTCAAGAACTTGGTTGTTCATGATTCGTCACAACCAGCTATCATCTTAACCTATAATTAGGAATACTTTCTTCACTCAGGAATTTAAGCTCTTTTTTATATGATAAAGCTATTTATAATGTCATGACCCTTTGTCAAGAAATTATTTGGGCATTCAGCTGGATTTTTAATTTGTGTTTTGTTGGTATGGTTTCATAAAGATGTATCCTTTTGTTTTTCCATATTTTGATTGTGAACTAAAATAGGAAAATAGCAGTTTCAAAAACCAAGAATTGTTGATGGATAGCTGTGCTTTATAAATGCAAGTAACCTGACACTTATTTTAAGTATTGTTTACACAGCTGCTTGTTATAAGCAGTGGTGGAAGCCTAGTTTGCAGATGAGCTGGAGCCAAGGGTTGTGTACTAATTTGGCTTTGGCTGGCAACAAGTAGCTAAT